TCTTAAGCCTTTCGATTTTTTGCAAAAAAATTTGCTTTCTAGACTTCTCAAGAAATTGAACTCCCCTCCCCCTCCCGAATAAGAATTTGGACAAAAAGACCACTTATATTTGAAAAAACGGCATATAAAACTGTTTCTGTGCTCTTGCAATTCTCAGACCTTGGCTGTTTTTGTCAAGTGCATCTTATTGTTAATTTGTTCTGAGGGTTTCAAGTAATGAATTCAAGTTTCATTATTTGTTTGGTTTTCAGACAAATGTTGATGACTACAATTTACAAAAGTCATCACTCATAGGGTGACCATTGAGTACTAAGCTTTTTTTACTCTCAAATGTTTCTGTGAAACAGTGTAAAGTACCCCCAAAATGATGCCTATCAATTTTGCTACGTGTCTTAAAGTCAATCAAACAGCGTCAGTGATAATCTGTTGAATTTCAGCAAACAGTACATTGGTTGTTGTAAGCCCTTGTTGCTAAGGACAGTACCCATTTTTATGTCCATTATATCATTTTTGTTCATTGAAATCCACCTGCTCATGTGTCTGTAAAACAGACATTGGCTGCTTTACACATATTTCAGTGAATATTTCTTTGGGATTCTTAACAAGTTTTACAGCAGCTTTAATGAAGTGTTTATTTTCACTCTAGTTTACTGACTCTTTATCATTCATTATTAATGCAGCGTCTCGTATAGCCATTGTTTTCCAGCTTCTCACAATGAAACTATGTGATGAAAAGTGGTCACATAAACTGTAATCAATTTAAGATTTAATCATGAGAGGAAGTCAAGCTTTATGTCAAATGTTTTCTATGTTGTATGTCATAGAGCTCAGGACATATTTATTGAACAGCTCTCGTAAGCGCACAGCTGTTGTTTTTCTACATTACGTTTTTTACATCAGGTTAATAAATTTTTGGTAATAAATGTTGTAAAAAATTTGGTGTTCCTAGAGTACTTTATTGTGTATTCTACGGCGTAGTGACAGGGTTTCGTGTGTGCTATTAGGGTCTGAAAATCGAAGATTCCCAAAGGATTTCATAAAAAATTTACACTGAATAAAAAATTCAAACGTACACATCAATGCGCATAAATATCAACTTTCACAACAGACTTTGTTGACGACAACAAAACCGATTGATAAGACCGAAACTAGGAAAAAAAAGTATAATTAAAACGTTCTTTTCGTAGGTAGACCTGTTATTTACGAAAGATTATGCTTCAAAAACTAAAAGTTCTACTGTTTATTGATAAAAATCAAAACCTTTTTTTGGTCAGGCAGTGTTCATACCATGTTTCCTTGTTTTGATTACGGGTTCACTCTCAGTTTCCTGTATCCTTCTCTCTTGACAAGATTATCATCTCGAATTATAAAGCTTCACAAGTTAAGGGGTGTGTGTGTTTATGTGTGTGTGTGTGTGGGGGGGGGTTAATAAAAGGTTGCAGGGTTCATCAAATATTCTACTAATATTAAATACAAATTTGTGAACGGGACATAAAATACACACCTCAAACATTTTCAGTTGTGGAATAAGGTGCCAAGGTAGTTCAAGCATCCCTGTCACCGGTCAAACTCGTCATGAGCACTTGTTTTTTTATCAGATATATGGAATATTCCGTAGTCTAGTATGAAAGGAAAGTAAACACTTGCTACGAAAAGGTCAGACAAAAATAAAACGTCACTAGGATTTTTTTTATCTTTCTTATGAAGGCAATTATAATGACTAAAGAAATAACCGAACGCTAACTTTAAACCAATTGTTGAAATTATTTAATGTTAACTTATCTGACCCAGTCAGATTTTACTCAGAACGTGCTTTTGATAACTGCACAAATTTAGAGAAGTATACTAAATATACAGTTATAATTAGTAGCAAACATTACTACAACCTGCATAACCAACATCACTACATACATAAGGAATGTTAACGATAAAAAAAGCTGAAGTCAAATTGTTTAACGTACAATTTCGTTGTTATATGGTCCTAATCGTCTAAAGTAAAACATCCAAATAAAAACAGGTGTGAAAGGGCTCACAGGAGAATATATATTAATTCCTTCAAGGTGCCTGCTCCCAACCCCTTAAATTTCTTGGAAAACGTGTATTTTTCTCTTTTCTCAAAATTCATATTGTTTGCAGTTATGAGAATTGATCATGGTTTGTTATTTTCTATTGCTTAGTGCCATTGAAAGCACACATTTTCCTGTTATCGGAAAAACATTCAGTGCAAAAATAAGTTATTTTCACTTTCAAAACGCTCAATAATGATGTTTAAAATCCTCATTAATGCAAAACATTGTAGCACATCAATGTTTTTTTTAATTATTCTTTTTAAGCTATAACACATATTATCTAAATATACTGTCAACAAAAATGGGCAGTTGATTCCAACTACATTTATGCCTATTGAACTCAGATAAATATTACTAGTATTCAAGACTAGTATTTCAAGGAAAGGATTATAATAATTAAAGGTAGTCTTTAACATTTTTTAATAATGCATTTTTTAAAGTGACATAGCATTCATAAAAAACCTTTTGAGTATATATATATTTTAAAAAATAAGCTCAAACACAAGGTTTTGACATAACAATAAAAAAAAATAACAATATCAAAGTATAGTTTTCCTTCACAGGAGAGGACAGGGGTTCAAATATCTTAAGCAGTCAGGATGTCAGATAACAAATGAGCGAATGTTGACCAAACCCTACATTTTGATGTCACTGCAATACATCCTCATTTGATTGTAATTCCCTGTAAAACAAATATACAGAGTTTTTATCTTTGATATAAAAGCCATAAAAGGTCGACAATTTTCCCCACAAATTCTGTCATGTGTCACAAATGACATTTTTTCATAAACTTTCAATGAAACTCTGACATTTAAGTGTATGTTTTTGTTCTTTAAAGCACTCTGACAAAGATTTTCCGAGCATTTTCCTTCTATTCAATTCTTAAAGAGTAGATTATTTCGTTATCTTTATTTTGCTACAAAAGCTTATATAGGCTAATTAAATAATCAAAGAAACGATTTTGCTAATGTACTTTGTTTAAATCTCCATAAATATATTTTTGCTGATAAAAAAAAATGAATGGTTTTATAATCTTTATTTAAGAAATAAATAGAGAATAATTCATGGCAAAATCTGTATCATACCCCATATCAACCCAAGACTCGAATATCAGCCCGATGGCCAGAGACCAGAAGACTAATATTGGTCGGGGGTTGATATTGGGTGTGATGCAGATTTTGCCATGTATTGCTGTTTTTATTATATATTTGAAAATAGTTTACATTGTGACGTTGGTTAATGCTTATGTGACGTCAGTTATAAGGCTTCTTGTGTGATCAAATGAAAACAACATATTGAATATAATAGTAAAAAGATCCGAGGTACTCCGTATGAAAAGTACAGATATGTTCCGGAAAGGTGTAATAAAGGGTGTGATAAAGGGTGAAATAAAGGTGCTGATACAGGGTTTGTAATAAAGGGTGCGTGCCTGTGTTCATATCAGGGATTCAAAACCCTGTATTGTATATACAGATATATAATTGCTCGGATGGTTTATTCTATGATGCGCGCTAGCTAGTTTTTAAAATTCAAAATGAAACTATTCCGTCCTTTCATTAATTAACCGTGGAGACATTGAAAAATGAAACTAATATAAACATTGTACATGCCAGTATTCAAAGCAGTATAAATATCACTGCATTCATCATTTGTTAATTTATTTATTTTGGGACAATTTCTACAACAATTTCACACTTTTGATAACATTAAAATGCAACGATAATTAATTATCGTTAAACATATAATAATGTATTTAAACTTTATTTTATAAAAAAAAAGACTCTTGAAAAATTAAAATATCTTAATAAGAATAAAGTACACAACTTGTAGAATAATCATCATTAAAAAGCAGTTAAGTAGGGGTACTCTGGATGAAAAAGAAACGATATACAATTAATAAGTAATTAAAAAGCTAAAACTTTAGCAACAACAACAAAGAAAACAAGAACTACAACAACAACAACAACAACAACAACAACAAGAATAATAATACTACTACTAATAATAATAAAAATAATAATAATAATAATAATAATAATAATTATTATTATCATTATTATTATTATTAAATAAACGATTAAGGACTCTTTAATTTTTTTGGTGAATAACAAATCATATTCAACAACATAAGATTCCATTATTGCTTTATTATATAGTCAAGATTTGATTAAATAAGACACTGAAGGCTGCATGACAACACCATTTTCATTTACAAACTTCTCTCGTTAAAAATAAAAAAGGTATGATTATGGGTTGTAACCACTGTTTTTCCATTCCGAATTTTGCTATGTGTAAGACGTCCGCAAATTTTCCTGCACTAGTTTTTTTTTCTGTGCTGATACATAACTGGCTGCAGTCATTGCAATTATTTACAACGTTGATTGAGGTGTTCATTGTGACGTAACAATACAGCTACACGCTCGCTGACCCTCCGGTGAATACGGCCTCAAATCCAGTGAAAAAGCACTGTTATTACTGTTTGCACTTGTACAAATTATATAGGATCGACAAATAGACTATAATAATAATAATCATCATCATCATCATCATCATAATGATAATAAAATAGTTTCATTGTGTTCAATTTGATGTCAAAACTGAATATAATACTGGAAAAATAACCCTTAAAATTATGTGCAAAGAGAAAATTAAAAAGTTGCAGATAATTCCTTTGTTATTTGATCTTCCTTTTCTTCATAGTTGTTCAAATATTTATTCCTTAGGTGACAGTAGTTGGATAAACCGGATGTATATTTTGATGGTCAAATAAATAAATGCGGACTTTGGTATTAACCACCAATTATGATAAAGACACGGATATGTCCTTGAACTATCAACCAAAACATATTTGTATAATTAATTTTCTTGATAAAAACAATTTCAAACGTGGACATATAGCATTTAAGAGGGTTTAGCAGAAGTTGTATAAAAGGAGAGTTTTATCCGTTTTCTTCATATTCGTCTCTGAGGCCCTATATATCAACCAAGGTAAGTTTTTTTTTTCAATTCTAGAAACGCTGTTAATCAGATGTGGATCCTAAAAAAACTTCAAATTTTCCGATAATCTGTAATAATGAAACTATTCTACACTATATACAACAATACCTCACTATTAATTGTAATTAAGACGTTTTGTTAGCATATACGAGAACTGCTTCTTCCATAAAAAAAATAATACGGAACTCGGAATTTTTCATATTTTATGGCCGTTCATAAACAAAAGAAATACGCACGTTAACTCTCGATTCCCGCCTACATTTTGAAACAATTTAATCAAATATAAATAGCAATTTGGCCATACAATCTTTGTTTAATACAAAGAACAGTTCAATGGTAATTGATGAATTGTCTTAATACCAGCGCTAAACAGTAAATTATTCATAATTCCAGCTCTTGAAAAAAGGGGGGTAGACGATATCTTCCACTGAAATCGGAGTTTCAAGCATCACCATATTTTGAATTAGTCTTGGATATGATTAAATGTTCCTTATATCTTTTTTTTGTTTTAGGCAAATAAATACAAGAATATATCAATAAAATATAATATTTCAGTTGAAAATCGCTTTGAAATTGGTGGAAAATAAGCATTTTTATCGTTTTTGTCAATAAACATATGTTCCCTCCGTGTCACACAAAAAGCTTTGGTATGAATTTGTGAAATAACATTCAATATTACCTGTAAAAGGGAATTTTTGTGACACGGGGGAGGGGGGGGATGTTTTAAAATATTTTCCCTGTTCCGTTGATTTCTATATTGATAAACACAAGTTTTACAAAAATTTTAAAGTTATCTCTCTTTGTTTTCCCAAATAAGTAATGTTTTATGAAAATCCATATAATTATCCATAAAAAATATAAAAAATTCATCGAATATGTTAACTTTTGAAAATTGACGTGGAGGTAGGCGGGAGAACAATACTATCGTTCGCAGTTCTTTCCTTCTTGAAAAAACACGCTGATTGTATTTAAATGTACTCTTATGTTTATGTTATAAGGATGCTGGGGTTCCTCGTGGGCAATATTTTTACAGGAGAGCAATTTTTTCAACACTGGTAGAAATCCGATGAGCACTAATTGTGCTCATATTGTAGCTGACCTTTCATATATTCCTATGAAGCAAAATTTATTCAAATTTTCTGATAGAGGAAAACACTTGTGTCTTTCGATTCGACGTTCAGATATATCGAGTATTTTTTTAACTAACAAAAATTATTCGGTATTCGATAATGGCCTACTAACATCTCAGTTGTTTGAAAAACAAGATAACTGTAGATTTTCAACTTTTATTATCATTTAATAGGAAATATATTTACTTATAACGATACCAATACTTTATTCAGAATGGACTATTTATGTAAAAAAAAAAAAACACAAAACTTTCAAAAAGGTTATATATCTGACATTCTCCTAAACTGTATAATATTCTCTATGAAATTTTGTAAACGATGCTCATGCGAACTTCTCAGTATCATTTTAAATTACCGACTTAAAGCTGATTCTAAACCACAAAAAGCAAGAACTTTAAATATATATTTTTTCCATTTGAGTTTCACTTTTGATATAATGGCTTTGAATTATTTGCCTATTAATTTCTCTTTTTGACAGAATGCTTAAGTCACTGTGCTTCCTAGTCCTGCTCTTCGTAGCCCTTAGCGATGCCTTCTATGGTAAAGGATACGGTAAAAGCATTGTTATCCTCGGTGGAAAAGGAATAGGTTTTGGAGGATATGGCGGATATGGAGGATATGGTGGCTTTGGAGGATTTGGAGGATATGGCGGATATGGAGGTAAAGGATGGGGAGGATATGGAGGCTTAGGATATGGCGGATATGGTGGATATGGTGGATATGGAGGATACGGTGGATATGGCGGATACGGAGGATATGGCGGATATGGAGGATACGGCGGATACGGCGGATATGGCGGATACGGAGGATATGGCGGATATGGCGGATACGGAGGTTTTGGATGGGGAGGAAAAGGTTATGGAGGTGGAAAGGTAATCTTTATTTAATGAGTCTATATTATGCAAAAGACTTCCAAATTTCTTTTACTTTTTTTTTCGTTTCTCAAATTTTAACAAATGTATCTTTTTTTTCAGGGCTACTATTAAAATTGATGAATGTTTACATTTTATTATTGTTGCATTTTTTCATTAAATAAATGATGTAAAATAACTAGATTTCAATTTTATGTTTTACTGACCCTTATAGTACAAAGGGTTGAAGTTCCATGTTATGTATATGAGACGACAAAGTATCAAGACATACACTCTTCATAGACAAGAAACCCTGTTACCGACACCACGAAAATGTCATCTTGAGGGTTAAGTATATATCACGACGTATTGTCGATCAACAATGGTTATTTCTATTCTTTTGTCGATACGCAATGCCGATGAGCTTGAGAAAAAAGATACCAGAGAGTCTGACGCATCTATTTCATTTTTGGGTATTTTTCTTGAAAAAGACTTTAATGGTAATCTAACAATCAAACTCTATGATAAACGTGATGACTTTAACTTTTAAATCGTCAACTTTCCTTACTTATGCAGAAATATAAATTAATCACCGGTATACGGGGTTTATATACACACAAGTACACTAAAGTTGAAATAAAAAAAGATGGTCGCGTTTCTTGAGTTTCTGATTGACAATATCTATGTTGTTTTTGGAGACCAGGTCTTCCAACAATCTGTTGGAATTTCCATGGGTACCAATTTCGCTCCGTTTAGCAGATCTAATTTGTATCATATATAGCAGAATTTGTGCGAATTCGTATGCATGAAAAGAAGAAAACACTTGTTGTGGCCTTCGACACGACATTTAGAAATATCGACGACGGATTGTCAATTAACACTGGCAATTTCCATTCTTAACTTTAATTTTTTTAATAGTCAACTTCCCTTACTTATTCAACAATATACTTTCATCACCTGCATACGGAGTTTATATATATATATATATCTCAGTTGATTTGATACGCAAGACCGTGCTCTACGTATGAGCAGTTTCTGGGGCGAGATAATTGTTAACAAACCAGTTGATGAAACGGAAAATATCAGCAGTCTTGTTTAAAGTCATCATCTCGTAATTACTATGGTCAATATAATGATATTGTCAGCAAATACAATTTATCATTGAGTCAAATGCTGACTAACATTTTTCTTACTCATTGTTAGGCCATTATTCATACACAGAATTGACGACAATTTTTCCGTTATTTCCCATCATGACAAGGAGCAGAGGGCGGGTGTGACTGGTTGGCAGGGGATGCCCACTTCTTCTTTAGTGACCATGATTTAATAACATTAAAAATACAAATAGATAACATCCAAAGAGGCCCGGGGATATGGACAATGAATGAAAAAACTATAAAAAATTTAAGATTTCCGAAAAACTTTTTTTGAATTTTGGGAAACATATGAGAATAGTTTAGACAATTGTGAAGATATATTACATTGGTGAGACCTAACAACATATAAGATAAAAACATTCTGTATTGAGATGTCAAAAAAATTAAACGTTAAGGGGGATGTACAAGCCATATTGGATCTAGTCTGGTGTAAAATAAGAAATACCAAGAATGCGCTTAATACTCTACTAAACTAGCCCAAAGTTACTCAAAGTGCTAATGCACTAATTACCTACTGTTAGAGACCAAAATCAGTTAATAATTAAGTTTATTTTGCTTTAATTAGGAGGAAATTAATCATGTTAGAACTGCGCAGCTACAGCATTCATGAGATGAAAAATGCATTGAATATAGTGTTAGTTTGATTCATTGATAATATGGCTACAACCATTTGTTTCGCTTTTTTCTTGTCATTATCCATAATTCTTGAAAATTTGATTTTTCATATGGGTGTCTTCCTGAGACCATGTATTTATTTCGTCCGACATTCCTCTGTCACACAGAGTTCGAATAGCATTGGTTTTAGAATAAATGCGACCATAATAACATCAAGACAAGAAATTACTAAGTAATAATCATTAGTTTATATTACTCGCTACTTTTATTTGTTGCATTGCATCGTCTGATTAATGAAAAAAAAAGCGATTTTAACCCCACTCCAGCAAATCGGGAAAATCTGTTCTGTTTACAGCTCGAGTTTCCTCGATAATATCATTCCACTGAGCACGTGGTTGGCATGTGCATATATCTGCTGGGGATAGATGCGTTTATTACCATGATTATATTTAATTTTTCATGGAACAAGTCTTGATGATTTGTTGGTTTCTTTAAAACTCAAGAAAAAAGATAAAACATGTCCTAAACATATGTGATTACGGCGGGTCTTTTTTCTGTGGCGATAGAAGTTATTTTCAAATGGGGCACTGCAAGGAGGATGCTTAGCATTTAATTTGAAAATGTTAAACAATATGCGGTGCATGAAAAACAAATTGTAATTACATGTCTTACATTCGAAAAGTTGGTACATGTGTCATTTTGTTTAGCAGTTAGATAGAAAAAATAGGCAGTTATAGGATTTCCTTCAGGCACCTCACATAAATAGCTAGATTGTTTGCAATGAATCACACATTGTATGGAGTAATGTTTGGACATAAAAACGCATCATGTCTCATTATGTTGACAACATTGTAAGCTCTCGCTCATTGAACATACGAAGCTTGATAAAATATATTGAGTTGTTTCTTTGAAATTTAGAAGCAAGCACAATGTTTGCAAAGAAAAGTCCATTGCATATGCTATGTCTATCACGCAAAAAAATGAGAGGCTACCCCCCCACCTTTTATTTGGGATAAAAAAAAAAATCCTATGTTTGTTTTTCAAAATAGTGCCAAAGATTCAAAAATTTTGCATTACTAAGTATGTGATGGAACATGTACTAGCCTTATAAGACAATTTGTTATAAAAATATTTGGTTGCCCTCTCTCCCGATCTACTGCCTAGAAATGGCCCGACTCAATTTTTTCTTACATCCTATTACATGTTGTTTTTTTTCTTCCGTCAACGAATTTTAGGAATTTTTTTCCCACCTATAAATACGGACTCAATAATTTTTCCCTGAGTTGGGAGGACCACCAAACATCATTTTAAAGATGGTATAAAATGTTTATTAATGTTGATTTTTTTCCTTTACTCTGTAAAATTGTAATTTTGACAAAAAGGGCAAATAGAAAAAGTTTTTTTTATTCATTAAATCTCCTAACCCACTCTGAATGATTTCATTCCTTTTCAAATGTTGCTCCGCTAAAATCAAAATTGTAAATGTTTATTTGACAGAGTATACGAGGGTAGATCAAAAAGTAAACGATATATCTTAAGTATTTGATAGTTATATTATTGTTGAAATATTCAAGTATTTTTCAAAGTGTAAATTGGAGGTCTTTGATAACATATTGCTTAATTAAAACACATCCCTTTTCAAACTTGCTAATATATCACTGGGCAATATAACAAGTATCATATTTAACCATCTGCCTTCCTTCACTAAAACGATCTATCCAATCATTGATTGAATTTGTAGGAAGTCATTTGTCTTAATAAACTATGAACAAATTCTTATATGCTACTTCAAAGGCATTTTTAAGATATACCATAAATATTTTAGTCGTTTGTTAAACGAGTTCCACTGAGGCAACCATTTTTCGTCACAAGAATCTGCATAATGACGTCATTATGAGCAAAACTTTATTCAGCATGTGCTATTTTATAGAACTTGTGTTTGGCTATGTGTGCACCAAATTTGTTTCTAACCTGATTTGTGGTTTTGTAGGTATAGAGATAGTTCGCGAACTTTTTGATCACCTCTCGTACATTGATCATATTAAACAAGAAAAAACTCCTGATATCGTTTTATGTGTTTAATTTCTTTGTGTTTCATTGGTGATAATTAAAATTTTGATATATATTATAAGTTATCTGTGGCAAACTTACAAACTCTTAATTCTTAACTTTGATGGTGCTCATTTTTCCTTACCTGGAATCAAAGAGTTTAAGATTTTTTTCTTTGATATCAATAAGTACATTATTTAACAACTGTTCGATAATAATACTAAATAAATTACTTCAAGCCATACTATAACACATTTCCTCTTTTAAAAGTGTTCATATACTATTTGTAATTCTCTTCTACATTTAAAGATTGTTATGTCCCTCCATATTAAGAAGAGGTCTGGAAAACTATCCAGGAACTATACTTTCATGGTTCTTTACACTCTTTTTGAAGACAACGATACCTTGTTTTGAACTTGACATTATCATTTAAGAGTGCAAAATTTAGACATTTTCTCAACAAATGGTACAATTGATTTAGACAGAACATTGATGCACAGTTTGCATATTTTTTTTGGATTTTTTAAGGTTCTGCTGAATTCTGTAGCTGCGCAGTTCTAAGGAGCATATCAAATGCATTTTTCTGCAAAAGTATAGATTATATATGCACAACATGCATTCAGTTATGAATATTTATGTATCTTTATCATAAGGACTTAAAATTTGATCAAAATATGATGTATTTTAGCCATTTGAAGAAATGTTTACATTTTGTTCTCACAGCACTAAAGGTGGCCGTACATCCCCCTTAATAAAAGGAAACTTGCAAAATTAGAAAAAGAATTAGAAGAAATTAAAAATAAGCCTTCAAGTGACAAAAAGTATCAAAATGATCTTGAGCAAAAAATTAAAGACATTTATACGGATAAGACAGAAGCTGCAATTATAAGATCTAAATGTAAGTGTTTTGATGAAGGAAAAGCACCTTCTAAATATTTCTTCCAATTAGAAAAAAATAATGGGGAAAAGAAATTGTAGGCTAGAATTAAAGCAGAAAATGGCAGTCATAAAACTGACATTTATTCAATAATTGAAGAGCAAGTGAAATTTTATTACAAGTTATTAAATACGGAGGGTAGGGATAGAGAAAGTGGAAATTTATTATTAGAGACTGTAAAGTGCAAATTAGATGAGAGTGATATAAACATGCTTCACAGCGATATATTTATGGCATTAAACCAAACAAATCACC